CAAGGTGCAAGGCTTTGATTTCTGGCTCACCGGGTTCGGTCATTAAGGAGTCGGTCTAGAGAAATGCCAGCACACCTCCGCACTGCCACCCTCCACCTCTTCCTGGGGCCCTCGGGTCGCTTCGTGCCTGCCTCATAGCTGGGCGCCGCTGCCTCTGCACAGCTGCTGCAGTGGCAGAGCTAGTTCCTGCGACACTCGAGACAGGTAAATAAAGAAATTGCATTTGCTGAGAGGCAGGGGGAGGGGTCTTCTGCCAGGGAAGAGTTTACATAATGCAACAGCAAAGACAGGGAGCTCTGCAGACCAGTCAATGGGGACGCAAGGTTGTCCAACCATCTCGAAATACTCTCCAACGGCCTGTTTTTCCTCCCCCGACGAAGTGATCGCAACTAACCAGCTGCTTACGCTCACCACCCCGTTTCCCTATCCTCCTTTATTATTACAATTAAAAGGGAAAAAAGCGCACCACCACCACCACCACCGCGCGCCCCTCCTCCCACACACACACACCCCCACTTCTGAGAGCCAAAGTATGGAATAACCAAACAGAGGCGGGGAGTTTTCCTTCGCTGGAAGGGGCAAGGAGCACAAGGAGCTGCCTCCGATCTACATACAGCACGATCGGGAGTGCAATGACAAGTTCTACAAACGCCACAGCAGCCCCGGCCGTGCCCTGGGCGGCTCGGCGGGGCTCGGGCCCCGCGGTCCCCGCAGCCACCCGGTCTCTCACAAAGGAGAGTGGTTTAGTCCAGAGCATTCCCCAGCACCTGATTCCCCCCAGCACCCTCGCCCCCGCCCCCAACACACACACATACACACACACAACAACAACAACTGGGGGCCGGGCAGGGGCGGGGGAGAGAGGAGGAGGATGAGTTATTAGAACCAAGGTTAAGAGCCTTAGCCGGTGCAAAGGCGCTCGGAGGCCCCGTATCCAGCGGGCGTGGCGGGAAATGTACCTGAACAAGTCCTGGGGCTTCCTTTCCAGCCAGCGTTTCCACTCACCCTTTCGGAGAACAAGGCGCCTTCCGGCGCAGCATGGCCAGCCCTCGCGTCACCCTAGCTTGCTAGTAGTCCATTCTCCCCAGGCCCCGCCCACCTCCGCCCGCATCTCCCAATGGCAGGGTCGAGTTCCGGGCTCGTCCAGCAGGCTAGTGTGAGCGCCATCCAGGAAGTCTCTGGAGGGTGGGAGGTCCTAGAAGGCTGAGAAAGGGTCCATAGGCAGCCACAGATATGCCTGATTGAAAATAAAATCTGGCGGCAGCTCGCCCCTGACGGCTCGCTTCCCCGACGCGCAGGCCGCTCGGCTGGGTTTTTAACCCCTGCCGTTAGGGGCGCTCTACATTCCGCATTTACTTACCTGTTTCTCGGAAGCCATCTTGGGTCGGGCTGGCGCCTGCCCGGAGGGAGTAGTGGGGGTGGCGGCACCGGAGGAGGCCGAAGGAGGCTGGAGCCCGCGGGGCAGTCTGTCGGACTCAGCCCAGCCTCGACTTGCTCTCCTTTATTCAATCAGACTGTGCCTCAGTCCGGATGTGAAAGTCTAGGGATCTTGCCGAATGTGACTGTGCACAGACACCCAGCACCCCCGCCGCGTAGGTGTGCTCTAACCCAATCATAGGGGGGAAGAAAATGCATTTCTGGGATGAGAGTGGATGCGCCCGGTTCCCAGGAGGATCCTTATCCTTCTTCCTTGGGATAGGCGATGACCAGTTAGGGGATGCAGCTATTCCAGATGTTTCTCAAGTCCCCGACTGCGCGTGCAAGTTTTCCAGAGCGCTGAAGAGAATCGAGTCAACGGGGAATGCTTGGGGTTAGGGAAAATCTTCAACGATTTTAAAAAGACCGAAATTCGAACAGTCCAAAACCTACTTGTTTACACACACACAGCAAAATGATAGCAGTCTTAAGAGAAGCAAAGGACGTCCTTCTTATTCTTCTTGTCTAGAAGAAACTAGCTTATAAAAGTGTAATAGAAAGCGGAATGGGTACAATTGGTCTAATCATGTTACCTGGAATATTTAGGTTTAGATTTTTAAAAATATACAACCTCCTATGGTCCTGGCCTTCAGTAACTAATCCAATTAATATTCATCTCTTGAAGAATGACTATTATTCTTCACATTGGGATGGGAAATTCACTTTCACCTTTGCCTGATGATTCTTCCTGACCGTTTCACGCAGAATGTTCACAATGAACCACAGCTCATAAATTTACAGACTTTTCCGTGTTTTCTAAAAAAAACTAGCAAAATACCCAAATACCGAAGGTTACCAGTGGGCCTTGCTTTTCAAGCCTACTTTCCCCCGTGGACACGCATGGCGCTTGCGTCTTTGCTTATTTCCATTCTGGAGAAACCTGTGTTCTCTCTGGAACATGTACTTCTCCCTTTCTCTCCCCTCATGTCTTTCTAAATGTTTCAATAAGAACTATCTTCACAAAAAAGTTATCAGTGGTTTATATAATAGAATTAGATGTGAGATTTTGGTGTAAAAGGATATGCTCCGTGCTAGGGATATGGTTCAGTAAGTGACAGAGCACATACCTTGCTTGTGCGAGGCCCTAGGCTTGATTCCTGGAACCCCATAATCTCTCCTGATTCTGCCAGTAGCAGCCCATGAGCACCAATATGGGAGTAGCTCCTAAGTACTACTGTGAATGACACAAAAACAAAATGCTCCAAAACACATGGGCACTGCTGGGAGTAACGTCCTGTGCAATGTAAAAGGAATAAGCCCTGACCAAACAGCATGCAGCTATGGAGGGAGGAAGGAAGGATAAATGAAAGAAAGGGAAGGGATGAAGGGGAAGGAAGAGGAGGGGAAAGGAAAGGAGAAGGGAGGAAGGGAGGGAGAAAAAGAGGGAAGGAAAGGAAGGAAGAAGGGAGGGAGAGAAGAAGGAAGGGAGGGAAGGAGGAGAGAGCAAGGAAGGAAAGATGGGGAATGAAGGAACTTCTTGGAGATAACTCAAAGGGCTAAAGCACACGCTTTACTCCAGAACCTCATGGTCCACTGAGCACTGTGGGTTCACAAGCACTGCTGGGTATGTTCCCCGACCCCACCCCCAAATAAAACCTCTTGGACAGAGATCACAAAGTTTTATTTTATCATGGGGTAAGGGAATAAGTGAACCCCAAACTAATCAGTCTCAAATCTATTTTGGAATGAGGTAAGATTTTAAAAACAGGATCAATCAAAGCAATACCTCAGTGGTCTTCCATTTCTTATGGTACAGTTTCAGAATTACTATTTTAGCGTGGCTGAATCCTATATAAAATGATTGTATCTCAGGACAAAGAATGCAGCACGTAAGGAACTTGTCTTGCATGCAGCTGACCCAGCTTCAATACCCAGCACATCATATGGTATTCTAAGCTTTGCCAAGAGTGATTCCTGAGCATAAAGCCAGTAGTAAACCTTGAGCACTGCCAAGTGAGGGCCCAAAACCAAAATAGGGACTGGAATGATAGTAGAATGGGTAAGGCATTTGCCTGGCACACAGCCAAACCAGATTCAATCCCCAGCACCCCATACAGTTCCCTGGGTGTGCCGGTAGTGATCCTGAGTGCAGAGCCAGGAGCAAGCCCCGAGCACTGTCAGGAGTGGCCCCCAAACAAACAAAAATAAATAAATTTAAGAAAGAGTAAAATGATTTTATCTCAAGGAGCCTTCTTTTGAAATCTTTGATATATTTCCCTAAGAGGAACGTTTGGGAAATAATCAGAAATGACACATGAAATATGAGCTGCTTGGATATATGAATATATTTAATAATAAAACAATTTATCAACAACAACAAAAATAATCAGAAAAATTCTTGAGACCTCAGTGCTGTAGAAGAAAATGGGGGTATCAAGGCAATATAACAAAGCAACTGACCCAGAAGGCTGCATGATGAGTGAAGCAAAAGCAAATCTGACGAGGATAGTATTAGATGCTCTTAAAAAGGTGAATGGCTGGAGAAACACCCACTTAGGGGACTGCTGAGAAACAGGTAGCCTTATTGCATGCTGCATGGAACAGAGGCAAAGAGCCAAAGGGAAGAGAGCAGAGAAGGGAAAGTTAGTACAGAATCCTGGATAAACAGATGGGAGGCAAAGAGATAAAGTTCAGAGAGATGACTCTACGGCTTTTTGCTTCCTCTGAAGTCTAAAATAAACCTATTCCAAGTCTTTACGTATGGAGGTCAAACTCAGTGATATCAAATGAGTAGCACTAGGCACTGCGAAGGAATGGTGGAGAGAGAGGTTTACAAAAGTAACGAGAAAATATGGTTGCTTCTCTCAACAAGCTCACAACCTATATGGAGACAGATACCATACAAAAAATAACTATAAAACATATTTACAAAATAGCACAAATACAAATAAATATACATAGGAAAGAATAACATTTGAAAGCTAAAGCTTACTATTAAGGTTTGCTATTGTGTCAGTAATTGTCTAGAAGTCCCAAGGTCAAAGAAGGCTTTCTGATTTACTGGGCTTTTGAGTATCATGTTAGCAGAGCATATGCAGAGACGAAGTGGGAGGAAATATGCTATGTCCAGTAAGTGGATCAGCTTGATTAGAACAGAAAGTCTAAATAGGTCTAGTTAAGATGTGAGTGTGATGAAACAGCAGGGGTGTATCCGGTAAAAGACACCATAAGGAGCTGGACCTTACACCACAAGGAGCAGGGAGAGGTGGTTTCTTTAAGGAACAATAGTGCATGACCATAGTACCAGGAGCAACTCCAGGGCTCTCCAAACTTCTGTAGTGACTCTAACAGAAAAACTAGCAGTGTATGGTAGAAAAGTATTCAGCCGCCTTGAACAATTCCAGTAGAAGGTACTGCTGCAAGAATTCTGATAACGTGGTAAATGAACCCAAAGGCAAGGGAATGAAACACTTCATGAAACTCCTATCTACCAGACAGAGGCCAGCCAGATCCCAGTCATCTCAAGCATTCAAGAGTATGTCCTACAAACTTGGTACTAATTCTTGGTGGGAACAGATTGTGAATTCTTTTTGGTTCTTAGGCCATACCCGGCAGTGCTCAGGGCTCACTCCTGGCTTTGCACTCAGGAAATCATTCCTGGTGGTGTTCAGTAAACCATATAGGGTGCCGGGGATCAACCCCAGGTCGACGGTGTGCAAGATGCCCTACCCACCATACTGTCACTCCACCTCCCGAGATTGTGAATTCTTATAAAACAATGTGTTTACTTTTGAACTACCATAACAATCAAGTTTGAGCATAACATTGTAGGAATTAAACTAGGAAGATAAGTGCCCTAACCTGCAGGGAATGCTCACAACCCTGAAGAAAGAACAGGGGCCCAAATTCTCCCCTGATCTTTTTTTTTTTTTTTTTAAGTAGAAAGGCAAAACAGCATGCCTTGAAAAGAGGCTTTTCTCAACCTAAGCGAGTTACACCTCTTTCTTTTAGCTTATTGATCTGAAGCGGTTCTGGGTTGAAAATAGAGTTCAGGCCAGATGTTCAGCAACAGCCAGAGCTGGATCCTGCGTCACCAGAGTTCCTCTGAGGGGTGCTGGGTCCCACTGGTGTTGAAATAGACTGTTGGGGACCGATCTTGATGCCATTTGCCTGTACGAGAAAAAGAATGAAGAGTTTCCACCTCAGTGCTAAAGAAAATGGGAGAAAGGGAGTGATAAAAAGGACAAAACCATTCATTAACATTTTTTAATGGATGAATCTGACAAGTGATATTGTGTCTAAGTTATAATTCATGTCAGAAAAAATGAAATTAAAAAAAAATTCACAGCAGCAAAGAGGAGATGAAAAGCTGGAGCAGCAGTAACAGAGAAAACTAGAAGTGGCCTTTGTTCCCTTTTCTTTATTTCAGGGCTAGAGAGACCCATACTCAGTGGTGCTCTGGAGCAACTCTCAGCTCAGTGCTCAAACCTGGGGGCCTCCTGCAGTTTATAAAGCACATGCTCGAGCCTGTTGAGCTCTCCCACCATCCCTTACTCTCCCTTACACTTAAGTTGCATGGTTATTTACACAATCAAGATGGGATTAGGTTAGAAGGAAGCGAAGAGCTGGAGAGATAGTTCCAGAGCATATGTGGTGCCATGGGTTCAATCTTGGAACCACAAAATAAATAAAAATTCTCTGGGGCCAGGGAGAGCACACAATGGCTGAGCACAAGCCTTGCATCAAGAGCCCCAGGTTCAACTTCCAGATATAGTCCTCCAGGAACAAGCCCTAACTATACCGTGCTGGGAGTATGGTACTATATCAGCATTGCTGGGTACACCCTAAAACCAACCAAAGAAATGAAAATGAAAAAAAAGAAAGAACAGGAGGAGGCAAAGAAGATTAGCACAAAATGCTTTTTAATTTTGTCCTGAAGTCTGTTTACAAGTTTCTGCTGCATAACTAAGAATTACACTTGAGGCAAGATGTAGCTTAGTGGTAGAGAACATGCCTTTTATAAAGGTGGAGGGGAGGGATTTTGGAGAGACATTACAGCAGGCAGCAGGGTGTTTGCCTTGCAAGCAGCCAACATGGCCGACCCGAGTTCGATTCCTCCACCCCTCTCAGAGAGCCCGTCAAGCTACTGAGAGTATCTCGCCTGCACGGCAAAGCCTAGCAAGCTACCCGTGACATATTCGATATGCCAAACACAGTAACAATAAGTCTCACGATGGAGATGTTACTGGGCCCGCTTGAGTAAATCAATGAACAACAGGAGGACCGTGATACTGTGATTACAGCAGGAAGGGCATTTGCCTTGCAGATGGTTGACCCGGGTTCAATCGGATTGAACCCTCGGACCCCAAATGGTCCCCCCACACCTGTCAGGATTAATCCTTGAACACAGAGCCAGGAATAATCCCAGAGCATTGTCAGATGTGGCCCAAAACAAAACAGAAAAAATAGGAGCAGGAGTGATATTACAATGGGTAGGGTACCTTATACATGGCTGACCCAGGTTTAATCTCTGGGGCATCCCATATAGTCCCCCAAACTCTGCCAGGAGTGATGTCTGAGTTTGAGCCAGGACTAACCCCTAAACACCACCAGGTGTGGCAAAAAAATAAATAATTTTTTAAAAAAAGGGGTGAGAGATATATAGTTCAGTAGGTAAGACACTTGCCTTGCATGTTGCTGACCCAGGATTGATTACAATACCACATATGATCCCCTGAGCACCACCAAGAGTGATCCCTGAGCAGAGAACCAGAAGCTCTGAGCACCAAGAGGTGTGGTCCAAAAATAAAGATCATAAAAATAAAACAACAAAACAATAGAATCACACCTCCCCATGGTCCGGAATAGTAAAAATGGAGTAGAAAGAAAACTCCCAAACTGTATATGCCTTTTAGATCACTGACTAATCACTTCTTTAAGCATTCTGTCTCAGACTTAATAAAATACAGAAAAGAGCCAGGGAGATAGAGCAAAGAACTAGAGTATAAGCCTTGTATGCAAGAAACCTGGAGGACCCGATCCCTGATACCAATCCTCTGGGAACCTCCAGGAGTGATCCAACAGTCTTCCAAGGGGAGGAAAAAACAGTTGTCCAGAGAGACAATACAGAGGTTAAGACACTTGCCTTTACTGCATTTGATGTTAGGTCAGAATCCTTATGTTCTAGAGAACTTCTGGTCCAATTTAAGATAAGGCAAAGGAGTCAGTACAGTGAATAAGCCGTGAGTGGCTGACCCAAGTTTCATAGCTAGTACCGTATGTTGCCCTGAACAGGGGCAGGAATAGCCCCAAGCAATGTTGTATGAACCAAAAACCCGCCTCAAATTTTAAAAAAAAGCCCAAGCAAAGGTAACTGAAAGACCCAACTACTCCTTCTCACCTCATTGCTGACATCAAACAAACCCTGCTGGATCTTCCTGTATATTTCTTTGGCTGTGTTAATGAAGGCCTAAAGGAAAAAGAAAGCGTATCATCAGACTCAAGTTTAGGTAAGGAATGGGAGGAAGAGAACACAAATATTATTTCTCTTAGGGTTTTGAAGTGAACTAGGAATTAGGGAAAGGAAGTGAAAATACAGTGTCTCAAAGTCTCTATAAAAGCTATTGAGAGAGGCTGGAGAGATAGTACAGAAGTTAAAGCATTTGCCTAGCAAGTGGCTGACCCCCGTTTAAATACCTGCACCACCTGAGCACCACAAGGTCACACTCCTGAGTCAGGAACAGGCCTTGAAGGTATAGTTCCCAATATCCCAATAGCTCAACAGTAGAGCATAAACTTCACGTTTGTGGACTTGAGTTTGATCCGCAACACAAATACACAAAAGTATTATGGTACTGATGGGCCCAAGGTGTATCTAGGATTTTCTGCAACTAAAACAAAAACAAAAACAAAAACACCCCAATCTCTCTCCACTGGTTACTCAAAAAATTGCCAACAACAGGTTTAGAAATGTTTACAGAAGAACCCATTAGACCCTCCAAATAAAGTGATTTATAAGCAACAATGATGCTACTTATCAATTAATGTCACCCAAAGCACAAGTAAAATCTTACAAAACTAGAATAAAACAATTCCCTTAAAGGAAGATATGTAATCATTATGTCAAGACATTATTTCTTTATCCATGTTTTATAGAAGAGTTTTGAATAAAAAAGGTCAGAGATATGGTATAATTTCTGAAGCTTTTCCCACTGTTTCCAAATAGTACCTCTTCAACATTGCAAGCTGTTTTGGCTGAGGTTTCCATGAATATAAGCCCATGCTCCCGAGCAAAGGCCTCTCCTTCTTCTTTCTTCACATCTCTGCGAGACTCTAAGTCACTGCAAGAGGTTGGGAAGAGAACTAAAATAAGCTCCATGTGAAGGCGAAAACTCCTGTTCCAAAGGAATCATTTATCCGTTTCACCTGCCATTTAATCCATCAAGAATGTGGATACTAGGGGCCGGAGTAATAGCACAGCCGGTAGGGCATTTGCCTTGCACGCGGTCGACCCGGGTTCGATCCCCGGCATCCCATATGGTCCCCCAAGCACCGCCAGGAGTAATTTCTGAGTGCAAAGCCAGGAGTAACCCCTGAGCATTGCTGGGTGTGACCCAAATAGAAAAAAAAATGTGGATACTATATGGTACTTTCTCATACCAGGTTATTGAGGTCTGTAGTCTCTTGGAAAATATGCTTCAAATTCCTGACAGCTGCTGCATTATTAGAGATTAGGATTTACTCTAGTACTGACAAAAAGGGTTTTTTAAAAAAATTAGGCAGGCCCCTTAAGGCTTATGTTAAAGGGAAAGAAAAAGAGAGTTGGGGGGTGGAAGGAGGGAAAGAGAGAAAGTGTCTGCCATAGAGGCAGGCTAGGGATAGGGCGGAGGGAGGGAAACTGGAGACAAAGTGAAGGGATGGGCACTGGAACACAATATGACTGAAACCCAATCAAGAACAACTTTGCAACTATGTATCTCACAATTGAAAGAAAAAGAAAATAGGGGCCAGAGAGATAGTACAGCTGGTACAGTGCTTGCCTTTTAAGTTGTCAACCCTGGTTCAATTCCAGGCATCCCATATGGTCCCCTAAGAACTGCCAGGTATAATTCCTAAGAGCCAGGAGTAACCCCTGAGCATTGCCAAGTGTGGCCCCCAAACAAAACAAACAAAAGAAAATAGTCGTAGAAGCCCCATGCCATAGAGTCTTCTACTTTTCTTTTTGATGGGAAGGGGGTGTGTGGTGCCAGAGTTTTTTTTATTTGTTTGCTTTATAAATCGCTGGAGCAACAGCACATTGAGTAGGGCGATAGCACAGCAGGTAAGGGCGTTTGCCTTGCACGCGGCCGACCTGCATTCAATTCCTCCATCTCTCTCGGAGAGCATGGCAAGCTACTGAGAGTATCCTGCCTGCACGGCAGAGCCTGGCAAGCTCCCCATGACATATTCAATATGCCAAAAACAGTAATAACAAGTCTCACAATGGAGACGTTGCTGGTGCCTGCTCGAACAAATCAATGAACAACAAGACAACAGTGCTATAGTACTACAGTTTGTTTTATGAAAACACCATGATTTACAGTTGCTCATCATACAGTGTTTCAGGCATTTAGCGTTTCAACACTACCAATGTGACCAACCTTCCCTCAACCAACGTCCCCATTTTCCCTTAGGCACATTACAGTGCCAGAGTTTGAACCCAAGGCCCTGAATGCAAAGCAAGCACTCAGTCCATTGAGTCATCTCTGCACACCACTCCCATCCATCCCGTTTTTTTGTGTCACATTAGCTCAGTGATCAAAGGCATCTCCAAACAAAAAAAGAAAATTTCAACACTCTTGATTTTTTCCTCTAGACACACCTTGAAGATCCATTTCTAGTTGTATTTGGAGGGTCACACCCTGAGACATTCAAGGACTATTTCTGCATATATGTTCAGGAGTAACCCCTGGTGATTATGCACTGCTGAGGATTCAAACCAGGTAAGTGGGGTGGGAAGCAACACAAATCCCTTAAAGCCCTGTATTATCTCTGTGATCTGATCCATTTCCATTTGTTCACTTGCCCATCCTTACTCAGTTCCACTGATGTCTGGAAAAGGGACATCAAACACATCAAAATGAAACTTGAGGGTCAGAGAGAAAGCTTAACGGGCTGAGCATATATCATGTATCCAGGAGACCCAGGTTTGATCCTGCACACCAGTTGGTCTCCTGAGTACCACAAAGAGCAAACCGGAGCACAAAGCCAGGAGTAGTTTCCAAGCAAAAGATGATATGGTCCAAAGCCCACCCTTCCTCCTCCCCCCAAAAAAAACCCAACCCATATATCCTACTTACCCTAAAGCAAGGTACCCACAAAATACCCCATACTATATCCCCCTCTTCTCTTTCTACTGTCCTGGCCCAGAGTTTCCCCAAAGTGAACAGTAAAACATTGGGTCTCTGAAACAATTGGTGAGGGCAGTAATAAGAGCCTCAGATGCAACTGGGAGGGGGGGCACTTTCTGTAAAGAAAGCAGACTTTCAGCGGAGCACTTAATGAATTTTTTTCTGAAAAGAGGACAGGAGATCAGAGATTTGGGCATCTCTGCTCCAAGTCACCATTTCCACTTCCACTGCAACTGAGTACTCACCTTCAACTCTTGCTGCTCTCCGGGGTGCTCTTGTAAGTTCTGAGCAAACTGTTTTTCCGCTTAACATTCTTTTTTTTGCTTTGCTTTTTGGGTTGCACCCGGCGATGCACAGAGGTTACTCTTGGCTCATGTGTACTCAGGAATCGCTCCCGGTAGTGCTCAGGGGATCATACTGGATGTTGGGAATCGAACCTAGGTCAGCTGCATGCAAGGCAAATGCCCTACCTGCTGTGCTATCACTCCAGACCCCGCTTAACACTCTTAAACCAGAGAGATGGTTCACAGGACTGGAGGTCATGCTAGGCATTCAGGAGTCCCAGGTTGATCCCTACAATAGCACAGTTACCTAGTTCTGCTGGGAGTGACCTCCAAGGACCTCACCCTAGGGGGAACACATAAACACTGAAGGTGTGTCCCCTAAACAACAAAAATAATCTCTTATACAAGGGAAATGCTTACAAGGCAGGTGTATAGGCCTTGCAGTTAGGAATCCTGAGTTCACTCCGATGGGCTGGACTACATAGAGGGTCCACTTGCCAAAAAAGAACTAAACAACAAATGGCTTCTGAAATGCTTTCTACTGTGTTTAGAAGATAGGCAACATGGCATTCTCAGGCCTATAAATGCTCTGAGGCTTGGTCCTGGCCTACTTTTCCAACCTCAATTTGCACCATTTTCTTCTTGATCAGCCCAATCACAATACTTCATAAACTTGCCAAGTTTCTTCACAATTCCCTTTTCAAGCAATTTGCTCCCCCAATCTAACACCTGTGTTTTATGCACATCAAGCTTTAACCATCCTTCAGATTCTCCTTTATTTATCTCTCAATAGGTAGTTTGGGGGTGAGAGAGATAGTACAGCAGGTAGGATCTTGCTTGCATGCAGCCGACCAGAGCTTAATCCCTGTCACACCATATGGTCCTCCAAGCACCGAAAGGAGTAATTCCTGAGTGTAGAGCCAGAAGTATCCCCTGAGCGTTTGTGAGTGTGGCAAAACAAACAAAATAGGTAGTCTCAGGAATGGGGAGAGGGCCCAAAGGGCTGAAGTGCATGCCAGGCCCGCAGGAATGAATATCAGATATCTGGTACCACATGATGTTCCAAGTTCTTGAGGGAGTAGCCTCTAGGACCGCCAGCTATAGCCCACCCAAGAAATAATAGGGTCCCTTCCATATTAGCCTCCTTTTCTCCACAGCATTTAGTGTGAAGAATAAATGCTATTTATGCTTCTAATAAATGTTTCTAATTGAAGATATCAGGTAGGATTATTTTATATGTACTTTGTTATCTGGGGTAACACTTGGCAGTGCTCAGGGGCTAATTGTTTGCCCTGTGCTCAGGGGTCATACCTGGTGATGTTAGGGGATCTTTTAGTACTGGGGATTGACCCCAACCTTCTGCATGCAAACCATGAGCTCACTCCTTTGAGCTGTTCCTCTGGTCCTCATTTTATATTTAATATCTACATTACCATTAAGCTGTAACTTCTATAGCTTATTGGTATGGGGAGAGGGTTAGTTTTGGTTGCTTCTGGGTCATACCCAGAGATGCTTAGGGTTTACTTTTGGCTCTGTTTTCAGGAAATGTCCCTGGTGGTGCTTAGAAAACTATATGGGATGCCGGGATCGAATCTGGATCAGTTGTAGGCAAGGCAAACACCCTACCCGCTGTACTATTGCTCGGGTTCCAATAGTGACTTCTATGGGAATAGAGGCGTGACATGTTTGTCACCGTATATACTCAGAGTCTGACACATATGTCTAGGACATATTAGGTTTTCAATAATTTGCTGAAATAACAAATGAGTAACATAGTCTGTGACCACAGTTCTCAACAGGTGCATAGTAGCACTATATTATAAACACAAAAGGGTGCCATAGTTCAAAAATGTTATAAATTTTACTTATTTTTTGTTGAGAGTCACACCCAGAAGTGTTCAGGGCTTGTTCCTAGCTCTGTGCTCGGGAATCACATTTTTGGGGGGTGGGGTGAGGGGCATACCCAGCTGTGCCCAGGGGCTTATTCCTGGCTCGGTGCTCAGGAATCACTCCTGGTGATGCTCATGAGACCATCTGGGACACCAGGGATTAAACCCAGGCTGGCCGCACGCAAGGCTAGCACCTACCCACTGTACTATCTCTCCAGCCACAATAATTAAAAAGCCTCTGGGAAGCAGCAATATTCAACACAGGACACCAGAGGATTTGTGAACTAAAGATCAAAATCAAATTCTAATAGATCCATCTTATTTGTATACGCATATGAAGCTGAGTTTTAGGCAACTTCTGTGATAAAAAGCATACTGTGTAAAAATCAATTTGGAGTGGGCAATGAAAGTCACAATTCCAATCCTGATTTTCCCAGGTTTGAGAAGCATGCAATGCATGACCAATACAGATCAGTAAGTAATTATGATTATTTGGGATGAAACATTTTCTTAACAAAAGGTGTTTCAGGGGTTGGAGCAATAGCACAGTGGGTAGGGCATTTGCCTTGCACATAGCCAACCTGGGTTCGATTCCAGCATCCCATATGGTCCCCTGAACACTGCCAGGTGTAATTCCTGAGTGCAGAGCCAGGAGTAACCCCTGTGCATCGCCAGGTGTGACCCAAAAAGCAAAAAAAAAAAAAAAGGTGTTTCATTTAAAATACTATAATTGGGGCTAGAGCGATACCAACAGCAGGTAGGGAGTTTGCCTTGCACATGGCGAACCTAGGTTTGATTCCTAGCATCCCGTATGGTCCCCTGAGCACCACTAGGAGTGATTCCTGAGTGCAGAGCCAGGAGTAACCTCTGTGCATCACCAGGTATGGCCCAAAAAGAAAAAAAAAACCCACTATAATTAAAAATATTTCTTATGGTGTTAAAAGATAGTAAAAAACATTCCTTTCGGTCTAAGGGTAGCACTGTAGCACTGTCATCCCATTGTTTATCGATTTGCTCGAATGGGCACCAGTAACATCTCCTTTATGAGACTTGTTACTGTTTTTGGCATATCCAATATGCCACAAGGAGCTTGCCAGGCTCTGCCATGCAGGTGGGATACTCTCGGTAGCTTACCGGGCTCTCTGAGAGCGACAGAGGAATCTAAGTCTAAGTGTACTATGGAAAATTTACTAAGCAAAATTATTGGAGAGAATGTGTAGAAATTGGATCTTCTGGGGCCAGAGAACTAGCATACTTTGCTTGGTTGGATCCCTGGCACCACAAGTTCCCTCAATATTATCGGGATAGTCCTGGAACACAACAGGAATGGCCTACATAATTGCCAGCACCTCAGGTCTGAGCAACAGGATATATATCCTCAGGGTCCTGCACTAAACCACCAGACCAAGAATCTCCCAGGTGTCTCCAGATGGGAGACTTCTTCTCTCCCTACAACCCCCAGCCTCCAGAAAAAGAAAGAAAGAAAGAAAGAAAGAAAGAAAGAAAGAAAGAAAGAAAGAAAGAAAATAGTGATTGTTAGGGGTAGCAGGATGGGGAATATGGAATAAGAGTTTAATGGGACCAGAGTTTCAGTTTGGAAGACAAAATTGATGTCTCAGGGGGGCGGAGCAATAATACAGCAGATATGGTGTTAGCCTTGCGCATAGCTGACCCAGGTTTGATCCCTGGCATCCCATATAGTCTCCCGGGTACTGCCAGGAGTAATTCTTGAGTACAGAGCCAGGAGAAACCCCTGAGCATCACTGTGACCCAAAAAGAAAAAAAAATCCTTTCCAGTGAAGGTAGTTCTGGTTTTAAAACAATGAAAACACACGTATTAGCTCAGACCCATACACTTTAAAATGGTAAATAGGGGGCTGGAGATAGTACAGTGGATAAGGTGCTTGCCTTGCAAATGGTTGACCGACCAGGTTCAATTCCTAGCATCCCATATAGTCCCCCAAGCACTTCTAGGAGTAATTTCTGAATGCAGAGCCAGGAATAACACCTGAGCATCATCAGGTGTGCCCCCAAAACTAAACAAACCAAAAAAAAAATTTTTTTTTAATTCTTTGACACCTACACACACACACACATTTTTTTTTTATATCGGAATAAAATAATGTTTGAAAACCACCAGACTAAAAAGTCTAAAAACCAACTTTGGTTGATTTGTTTAGTTTGAATTTTGGTTCAGAATCAACCAAGTTAGAGAGTTCCAAGATGATTCCTGCTACTTACTACTTAAACAAATGAGATTTTACCTCTTATTCCCAATCAGCATAATGACCATGTTGGAGCTAGAGTGCTGCCGGGCATCCTCTAGCCATGAAGTCAGATGGTTGAAGGTTTCACGCCTACAACAGAGAAGTTTAGGAAGTGGGTCAGAAGCCCATTTTAAAATGCAAAAAAAAAATTCCAAATATCGAATAGGATATGAAGGAGAGCAACATGTGTAAGGGAAAATTAAAAAAAAAAAAGGAAAATTCTGAATGAACATTTTGTTCAGAATCAGGAGCTAGAGAAGAGATTTTGAACCCTATCGGAAGAACACTACCTCTCGCCCTGGGAAGGTGGCTCACCTGGTAATGTCATACACCAGTAGGGCTCCGGCCGCTCCCCTGTAGTAGGAACGGGTGATAGAACGGAAGGATTCTTGACCAGCCTTTTCCACCAGCATGGCAACACCAACAAAAAAAAATCCCAACAAAACCAGGTTATTTCCACAGAACTGACTTGATCACATGCCACTCTACCACAATGCAATTAAAAACAAATTTTATATTAACAGAAATAGGGAAGTAAATTTGACAAGCCCAAGAGAAACCCAGATGGGGAAGCAATACTGTACAGTGGGACCATTTTTCAAATGACACTGGCCGTCAAATTGCTGGATATTTAGCAGTGGCAGCTCTAGTCACGAATGCCAAAAGCATCTCATAATCAGTCTGACAATCAAAGGCAGTCCCATACATTTCCCAATACCCCTTTGAAAAGAACTATAAATAGGACTCAAAACAGAGGAAGCTGCATTTTTTTTTTTTTGGTTTCATTGTTTCATCTTATTTTTGTGCCACACCCAGAAGTGCTGGGGGGGAGGGGCGCTATTCTTGGCATAGAATCCCAAGGGCTCTCTCCCAGCAGTGCTTCCACATTCAAAGCTTGTGTGCTAGCCCTTTGAGCTATCTCCCCCACCCCAAAAGATCTTTAAAACAATAGGAATGCTCTGGGCATTGAACCTTGCCTATTAGAAAAAGCTTTTATGCTTGGTTTTGGTTTGGTTTTGGGCTCTACACAGTGGTGATCAGATGCTACTCCCAGATCAGTGCTTACAGGACCACATAAAGTACCAAGAATCAAACCAGGGTCTCCTACATGCACAGCATATACTACTTGCCATGGAGCTATCTCCCTGGATCAAGCTCAAGCATTTTTTTTTCTTTTTGGGTCACACCCAGCGATGCACAGGGATTACTCCTAGCTTTGCACTTAGGAATTATTCTTGGCAGTGCTCAGGGGACCATATGGGATGCTAGGAATTGAACCCGGGTCAGCTGCATGCAAGGCAAATGTCCTACTTGCTGTGCTATCACTGCAGCCCAAGCTGAAAAATTTTTTAAAAATAATTTATTCTTATAGTCCTATGTGAAGGTTGGAAAGAAGACCACTGGGGTTTTTTACTGTGTTTTTTTTGTTGTCGTTCATATTTTAAAGATGCAAAAAGCTATAATACAGACATGGAAAGATAAATTACCTTTGTGTAGAACAGTAAAAATAATGATGATATTAATAAAACCCAAATGGGGGAAAAGAGGCTCAACTGAGTAATTTCAGTGACAGGCTAAAAGTTATGTAGTGTAAAGAATACATCATTGTTTGTTTTTTTTTTTGGGGGGGTGGGTATGGGGCACACCTGCTGGTGCTAAGCAGCCATCCCGGCAGTGCCTGAGAATTTGAACTCTGTTCACATTCATAGCCACATGCAAGGCAAGCACCTTAACTTCTATACTATCTCTCTGGCCTTGATTCGATATTTTAAGTCTCATATTCTTAGCACTTCCCTATGCAAATACTTGTTCTCTTAGCCATTATATCATAATAATCTAGAACTAGGCCTGAAGTTGAAGAGTGTTTCAGTACATTAATTCCAAGGTCACTCTGTCAACAACATTCAAAAAAATATTGTGTATTATCCGATTGATAGCACTGTCCTTCCATTGTTCACTGATTTGCTCGAGAGGGCACCAGTAATGTCTCACACCAAATTGTGAGACTTGTTGTTACTGTTTTTGGCATATTGAATACGTCACAGTTAGCTTGCCAGGCTCTGCTGTGCAGGTGAGATACTCTCAGTAGCCTGCCGGGCTCTCCAAGAGGGTGGAGGAATCAAACCCGGGTTGGCTGCATGCAAGGTAAACACCCTACCCCCTGTGCTGTTGCTTCAGCCCAACTGATACCTGATAGAACATCAGAATCTAAATATTAAATTCTAAAAAACTTTATTGGTAATGATAATAATAATATTCCAAGACATAAAACATACTTTTTCAGGGGCCCAAAAGATGACCCATCAAGGACAAGGTCACAAGGACAAGGCTTTCAGCACACACCTTAAATGAGCCTGAGTGCTTCACGATTCCTGGGTGAAGAAGGGCCCAGAACTGGCTCTATGTCTTAGAATACACCCGGGCAAGCGGGAGGGCATAAGCTTAATCCCCAGCACCACCAAAGGTTCCAAGGACATCCATGTCCTTTCTCCTCAACAAAGAGAAAAACATTTTTGTAACAAGATCCTGAAATAGGGGAGCAGAGAGATATATCGTACAGGAGGTAAGGTGTTTGCCTTACATGCAGCTGACCCTGGTTCAATCCCCAACACTGCACAGGGTGCACCAGACTGCCAGGACTCACTCTTAAGCACAATGTGAGGAACAGCCTCTTATTCATTTGGGTGTGCCCCCCCCCCCCCACACACACACACAAAATGAAAGCATAAACACTGAACCATTACTAGTGAAAAGCAGAACAGACTGGGAGGGAGAAGAGATTTACATGAGTAAAGGAGGCATTCACTTTTTCACCCTATACTCTTACATTGCTAGCTTTCAATTTTACTAGTATTTGTAAGAAAAACAAAAAGGAATGGCAGAGTTTGTAACTCTAGCAAGTGAGAATAAAAGCTTCCCTGTCTCTTCAATTTCACTTCCCTACTCTATCTCCCTCACAGTCCCACCCACAGCCCCTGCTGCTTCAGCATTTACTAGTTTACTTGTATCATGATCAGACACTAAATAGTTTGGTCCTTCTCACCGTATCCCAGATTTGCAGTTTGATTTGCTTTCCATCAATGGTGACCATACGAGCCCCAAACTCCACACCTGTCAGTGAAGACCAAGAGAAAGAATGGTGATTTTCACAAACAACAGCCACATTAAGTGAAAAGTTCTCGCTTTTTCTCAATGTGCTAGTGATTTGTCCTCTATACTCGGTGCCACAAACTAAGCCCATTACTCTGCTACTATGCGCCAGTTAATATGTTTCCCGAAGTTTCATTTTCCTACTAGAAGTCAACTGTGTTCTACAGCATAATGAACTCAGAAATATAACCAAAAGGAAACTTTGGGGATAAAAGCAATTCAAAATTCAAATGAAAAAGTAAACAAAATTTTAATAATGTTAGCTAATACAAAAGAAAAAGTAGGTAATATGTGAGTAGATAATAGTAGTTTAAAACTAACATTTTCTCAGAATCACTCTCTAGTGTAAGATTTTCAACCTTTTTACACCTTTAGAATGGCACCATTCTGTGAACTGATCTGCAGACCAGTAGCTGAAAATAACTGTTTTATATTAAACATTTATTTTTTGCAATTCTAGATTTTTTTGAGAAACAAGTCTAAGTAAATAAGTTCTCAAGATCTCCAATTTTTCCCAGAGTTTATCAGAAGCAAGTCTCCCTGACAGGAGTAAGAAAATTTAATAGTCTGAAGATTTTGGTTTTCATTTTCTTTCAAGGTAATATCAGGACAAAACAAAACCAAAGGTAAAATTATATAAAGAAGATTTTACTATAGGTCAAATTGTCCCAATTTCATTTATTTTTATTTTTTATTTTTGGCTTTTTGGGTCACATCCAGCGACATAAAGGGGCTATTCCTGTCTTTGCACTCAGGAATTACTCCTGGCAGTGCTCTGAGTACCAAATGGGATGCTGGGATTTGAACCTGGGTCAGCCGTTTGCAAAGTAAATGCCCTACCTGCTATTCTGTGCTCCAGTCCTTGTCCCATTTTCTATATATATACATATATATAATACATTATTCACAGAAAAAAGAATTCTGGGACTGGAGCGATAGTAAAGTGGGTAAGGCATTTGCCTTGGACACGGCTTCGATCTCCATCATCCCATACGGTCCCCTGAGAACCACCAGAAGTAATTCCTGAATGCAGAGCCAGGAGTAACCCTTGAGCATCACTGGGTGTGACCCAAAATGCTAAACAATAAATAAATAAGTAACCAAAATAAAAAATTTTATTTATTCTTTTTCCTTTTTGGGTCACGACCGGCAAGGCACTGGGATTACTCCTGGCTCTGCACTCAGGAATTACTCCTGGCGGTGCTCAGGGGACCATATGAGATGCTGGGAATAGAACCCGGGTCGGCCGCGTGCAAGGCAAACTCCCTACCCACTGTGCTATCACTCCATCCCCCAAATAAAAAATTTTCAAAAAATAAAAAATATTTTTAAAAAGAAGAATCCTAATTTTCAAGTAAGAACAAATACTAATGTAGTAGAAAAGGGAAGAGGCCACTTCAGAATTGAGAGAGATTGTCTGGTATATTCTACAGACACTACACAATATACTGGACCATCTCTCTCAATTTCAAAGTGTTACAGTCAATAATATTTTTTTAAAAAGAAAAAAAAATGTTTCTTACTCTTCTAGACTGCTTCATCAAGAATAGTGATCCAGGTGGGCTAGAGTGATAGTACAGTGGGTAAGACATTTGCCTTGCACCTGGCCATCCCAGGTTTGATCCCCAGTATCTCAATATGGTCCCCTGAGCACCTCCAAGAGTAATTCCTGAGCATAATGTCAGGAGTAACCCTGAGTATGACTAGGTGTATCCTTCCCCCCAACCCCCCACAAGACAAAAAAAAAAAAAAAAAGAAAAGAATAGTGATCCAGGTTGAAGAAAGAGTAAATACCCGCACCCCATATGGTCCAAGCCCACCAGAAATGATTCCTGATGCAGAGCCAGGAGAAAGTCCTGAGCACTATCAGGTGTGGCCCCACTCAAAAGAAAAAAAAATAGTGATCAACTGGGGAGAAGATAGCTCAAAGGGCTAAAGAGCAGCTTTGCATGCAGGAGGCCTGAATTTGATCTCCACATAAAACAGAGCCAAAAATAAAAAAGAATAATGAGAGGCCAGGGAGAGAGTACAGCAGTTAGGGCACTTGTCTTGCACACAGCTGACCTGGGTTCAATCCCCCTGCAACCCTATGTGGTCCCCAGGACTGCCAGGAGTGATCCCTGAGCACAGAGCTAAGAGTAAGCTGTGAGCACCACCAGTTGTGGCAAAAATAGGAAAGAATAAAAATGGGGGTAGGGGAAAAGGGGAGCCCAGGTATCTCAATGAGGGGCAAGAGAGATAGTACAGTGGGTAAGGCACTTGCCTTGCATAGGGTTGACTACAACCAGATTCCCAGTGTTCTATGTGGTCCCCTGAGCACTGACAGGAGTGACTCCTGAGTGCTCCCAAGAGCCAGAAGTAACCCCTGAGCATCACTGGGTGTAGCCCAAAAACAAAAACAAAAGCAAAAAAACCCCAAAAAGACAGGATAACTGAATGAATACCTGCCTCACAGGCAAAAGGCCAAGAGTTTATCCCATGTGCTGAGTGCCATCCAGTAAGCACTGCCAGCACTGCCACCTGGGATCCCTGTCACCACAACAAAATAAGCCATCTCCAACACTGAGGCCAAGTATGCCACCCCAGTCATCCCAACAACATGAGGAAAAGGAAGAGGGGGATTACAAAGGAAAGAATGATAACCAAAAGTCAAGGATATAGGTTACTGGTAGAGCACAAACTTTTTAAGTGAATTCTGGTTTGTATCTTTGGCACACAGACACACACACACAGGTGCGCATGTGCATGCTCGCACACACACACATTCACACACAGTGATCAATTATTGAAAAAAATAATTCTGCAAGATTCCATTCTAGTAGTAATGAAATTCTAAAGGAAAGATTTTCTTAAACTGCCTTTTAATCAACTTTCTCTATGCAGTCAGGCATATTTTATACATATTTTCTACTTAAGTGTCTTTTTTATCCTGGTACCAAGAACTGTTTTAGAAAGACACAGTCTATATTGAACTTTAATAATTATCATTTTATTCCTCCATTTTAAAACTTAACATATCCTCCAATTACATTTAAGCATTTCAAAACTTGGAACCTAATTAATGCTCTATAGCTTTATTTCTTTCCCTTCTCTACTCCCAACTCTCTGGTCCAGCCAAATTAAAGCACTTTCAGTTTTCCTGTTCTTGAGTGAGGGGGAGGGTCTCGATGACACCCAGCAGTGCATAAGGGACTCCTCAGGACTAGGTGCTCATTTGCAGCAGGGTCAGTTACAAGCAAGAAAATGCTTTATGCCTTATTGGCTATACTATTTGTACTCTGTCTCTCAGTTTTCCTAAGACAGCCCAATATCTGCCAGTCCTTTAAGCCTTTGTATACATTCTTCTTTTTCCCTGACTGCTTTCCTCTCATCTCTAAAAATCCTTTATCTAGGGGCTGGAGCAATAGCACAGCGGGTAGGGCATTTGCCTTGCACGCGGCCAACATGGCCGACACAGGTTCAATTCCCAGCAACCCATATGGTCCCCTGAGCACCGCCAGGGGTAATTCCTGAGCGCAGAGCCAGGAGAAACTCCTGTGCATTGCCGGGTGTGACCCAAAAAGCAAAAAAAAAAATAAAAAATAAAAAATAATTTTAAAAATAAAAATCCTTTATCTAGCTAACTCCTACTTGTTCTCCAGTTTTCTGTCTGAATGTGATCTCCAGCAAAGCATCAGACCCACAGCATCATCAGGAGCAACCACCAAGCATCACTGGTGTGGCTCAAAACAATCAAACAAAAATATCCATTTACAATTTTTTCTCTTGATGTTGTTTTCACAAAATTTTTCTAACCGCACTAGGCTCTGAGGCTTTGAGAATAGTAGTAGTGGTTTTCAGAGTTCCATAAAATGAAATACTGGAAGTGACAATAAGGTAAAAATTAAAATAAAAGATTTTATCCAGAAACTGTATTTGTATAACAAGGAGAGTTAAATACTAAAAATATATCATATATGGAGTATGTAGATGTAGTTTGGGTTTGTCTTTTGTAGTACAAGAGATCAAACCTAGGACCTCTCAATTCAAGACTAAGCTATATCACAGCTCTGTGTGTATTTCTTTTTAAAGTTTTCTTTTTCACTTTTGCTATGTGTATTCTTGATTTGGGCTAAGGTATGGAGATTTTAGAGATGGGGCTGCTAAAGACCCAGCAGGTCACACTTTATCACGAATGTGTGGTATGTTTCTACTTTCCAGAATCAAGGATACCTGTTCTGGAACCCCACATTCTTATTAAAAGACAAAATTATCTGTGCCAGGCTGATTTCACCCAGAGAATTCAGAGGCGGGCGGGTTGAGTTTTACTCCCCACCCCCACCCCCAGAAGCAGAACCCCAGCAGCCGAAAACCTCCAGAACCCAACCTCAGCCATGCTCAAGGCTGCTCTACATAGGCTCCAACAAGCCTCACCTATGAGGGAACCTATAGAAAAACCCAGGTATGCGGGACCCCTGACTGAGATCTCCAGTTCTCTTGAAACTGGACTGGGCCCCCTGCCCCAGCTCCCCAGTTTTCCCATAGCTTGGCATTCACACCCACAAACTGCCCCTAGCACAACATAATCTCATCAATGGCCAAAATCCAGAGACTATGAAATAAAGCTCCAGGAAGAGAGAACACAGAACATTCTGGAGTACTCACTGCTGCGCAACCTCATACTCTGGCCCACAGATGTACCAAAAGTAGCACACATTTGTTTGGGTTTAACATATATGTTTGTAATCTCTCATACAAGGGCTGAAATGGCTCCAGAATGAAATACAACAACCTTTACACACTTCCCTCTTCTGGTGGTGAGACTGATGTTTGAATATTTTCTGTGAACTATTGTGAACAACTTTATAAAAATAAAATATATGCAATCAAAAAAGTGGTAAAATTATTTCTTTCATTCACCTTTAGATTTTAAATCTGGAATGCTCAATTTACTTCTTTGTTCCTCTCCATTATGGGGGAAGGGGGGGATTGGGAATTACTCTGAACAATTTACATGAGGTAAGCACTAATTTACCACAAAGCCCAGTGAGGTTTTGAAGTTATACTTCTGTGGGGTTTTCCACGAACGTCTAAATGGCTTTGGGGTGGGAGGAATACCTAGGAAAACTAATCCGTGACTCTAATCTGTAACTTCTAAAGCTACCTTTCAAAGACTGTACTCTCCATTACACTGTAATCCAAGTATCAGCTTTTCCTTGGTCACTCTTTACTTAACAGGGCGTCACTTAAAAAAGCAGCGCTCCAGCCCCAGAAATAAATTTTTTTGAACTTGGCATGATTCTTTACTTGTAAGTAAGTCATTGAAAGATTTGAATGGGAATTTCAGAATTTTTAACTGGAAATATGATTTATATAAGCAAACAGTTTTTTTCTCGCAACCTTCAGTTACATCATTTCCTGAATCCTTGCAATATAAAGAAAGAAAGGGTGGCACTGCTTGGAGAGTAGCCCTGGGGGAGTTTTCTTCTTTACTTCTGTTTTTGGTATCTTTACTATTCTCCAAATCCCAAGTTCTAAACATGCTGAAATAAGGCATCATAGTTTCTATTCATTGCTCAGTAAATGTCAGTCACTGAAAGTCATTCTGGCAATAAAACTAGAGTGTGTGAGCAGAAAAAAAAAAAAAAGCAGTGAGAAGTTTTTCCCGGGACACTGCAGGTCGCCAACTTTCCGCGTTAGCTCGCCAGGTTTTTGTCATCTGCCAGTCCGGAACAGGTGAGTGCACTTACCTATTGTGAGGTCGTGGACAGGCTGAAACCGCTTGTCTGTAAACTGCAGGAGGAGACATGACTTGCCCACACCTGCGAGAAGAGGACCTGGACTGGTCTCGGGCACTGCTCTGCGCCTGGGGACTAGGGACGCGGAGCCCGAGCCCCGCCCCCGGCCGCCCCGCCGGCCCCGCCCCCGGCCGCTCCCTCTCCACCTCACCCGGCCCCGAGAGGCAGAGCCCCGCCCCCAAACCCCGACTCTGGAGCCTTGGGTCTCCGCCCTCGCCGTGAGGGCCGCCGGCCGCGGGTTACCTGTGTCCCCGATGATGATGTACTTGAAGAGATAAGCATAAGTCATGGTCCCGTTTCCTCTGGATTCCGGGTCCGCCCGACTTCACTTAACCTCCGGCCTCTCTAGCCGCTACACCTACCGATCTCCGGCCTTTCTAGCCCAGCTCACGTCTCTATTGCTCTCCCCAGAAATCCTCTCTGGATGGGAACAACGGTAATACCCAGACTCCGCCTCCGGGGACGCCGCGGCCCCTTCTACCTGCCATTATACCGCCCAGCCTCAGAGGGCGCTAAGTAGCCGGAGTCGGCTCGGCCTTCCCGGGCCCCGATTCTCAACAGCCCAAACAGTTCCTGCCAATCAGCGGGAAGCGACGCGCGTCCCTGCGGAAGTGACGGCAGTTCCGAGTCGTGTGGGGGCGTTGGGTGCGATGAGGGGAGTGAGACGGGGCTAGCCGTTGTGTGAAGATGGAGGTAGGCATCGGGGCGCCGAGCCGGCTGGCGAGAGAACGCCAGCGCCGCGGTTGAAGCCGAGGCGGGGCAGCTGCCGGGAGCGGGGAGTGCGGGATCATGTCACAATACCGGGGTCCGAGTAGGTGTCCCCGAGGTAACTCCCTGCTGACTTGTCTCCGCGGCTGTCTCTTGCTTTGCAGTTTCCCGGAGGAAATGACAATTACCTGACGATCACCGGGCCCTCGCACCCTTTCCTGTCAGGGGCCGAGGTGAGCGCGGAGGCGGCGGGGCGGCCGGGAGGTGGCCCGGGGTCGGGGGTGGAGGAGACTCAGAGGAAAGTGGCAGCTGCTTCTAGAACCTTTGATTACCGGCGGGGGTGGGGGGTGGGGGCACAGACGCCCCGGATCGGAGGTGGGAAGGGTAGATTCGGAGAAAAGTGGCAGCTGCTTCAAGAACCTGTGATTACCCGGCGGGACCAGGAAGCTGTCGTGATCAGGAAAACGAAAAAGGAAAAAGGATGTCGGAAAGAGCAAGCCGACGTCGGAGGGGTGTCAGGGTTGGAATATTTGTACTTTTCTTTGGGAGCGCGGAGCCCCAGCAGTTTTGTGGGGTTCGCGACTGGGGCCGATGCTTCTGCTAATGAAGTCCGGGGGGGAAGGGAGGAGCCGGCTGAGCAGGGGGTCGCTGGCCGCGTGCTCGTGCTCTCGGACCCAGCTCCCTCGCCTCGGAGGGCCGCGTGGTCTCCTTTAAGTGGCCCGTTGAGCGTTTTCTTTCATGTTCACCGGCTTGGTTTGTTGGTGACAGGGTGACAGCGGCAGGAAAGCCCGAAGGGAATGGTGGAACGCTGGGCCTGGACTGGGCACTTAACCTCTGTAGACCCCAGTTTTCCCAGCGGCCAGCAGCACGTAATAATAGTTCCTTAGCCTGTTGTGGAGTACAAGTAGTAATTAGGGTGGGATCCCTCGGTATTCGGGCGTGGCTTTGGGTTGAAACAGGGACGCAGTGGAGAGATGCCTCATGTCCGTAGGCAAAACAAAGGAGAAGGAAGAGAGAAAAATTAATTCCCGGATTTTGTTTGATTTGGGTTTCGGGGGCCACACTCTGCGGTGCTCAGCATCTGACTGCTGGCTCTGCACTCAGGGATCACTCCTGGTGGTGCTCAAGGGGACTATATGGGGTGCTGGAGATTGAACCCAGGTCCAGCAACCTGATGTACTACATCTCTAATTCCTGGGTCTTTGACAACTTGTGAAGACCTCTACATTCTGCTCCTCTTGAAGATTTTAATTTTTTTTTCAAAAGTGGTATGGACCAATTGTAACTTACTTTTAATGTGTTCCCCTTGGGTCCTCCTTTACTTTGTTGTTTTTGTTTCCATAACCAGAGCACTCAGTTCATGTCACTAAACAGAATTGTGGTTTAGGGGTTACCTACAATACAGCATTATCAGGGGTCGCACTACCAGACAGCCTCACACATCATTAGTTGTGGTGCTCTCTGTGTGTCACAAACTTCAGTTGTGTTGTTTGCACAGTCAGGTGTTTTGTCACTTTTTTTACGGCTCTCTCAGGCCAAGCTTGCCCTGGTGGGCAGTACTGGCATCAAGATCACAGTCTGGGTATGCTTTCCAGGAGGGAGCTTTTGGCACTGAGCCAACCTCAGGATCTTGTGTTACTCTCTTGGGGTTTTGTTTGTTTTGTTTTGGTGCCACACCCAAGGATTTCAGGGATTACTACAGGAATTACTCCTGATGGTTTGCAGGGAACCATATGGGCTGTCAGGGGTCAATTACTCCTCCCGGTGGTGCTCCGGGGAACTATATGGGCTTCAGGGATCAAGCGGCAGGCAAGGCAAACATCCTCCCCACTGTACTGTCACTCTGGTTCTTTGTGTTATTCTCTTAAGCAGGAAACGGTATGAATTAAGTGAGTAGCAAATTCAGAACAATTTAGTTTAGAACTAAAAGCTGTCCAATGCTTTCATTCTCATTGCCATTTTCTTCTGAGTCATATCTCCATGAACTTTATGAAAAGTGGGAGGCCACCCAAGCAATGCTCAGGAGACCCAGGGCTGCGGGTGTCCTGGTTATTCTTGGCTGACATGGTTGATGGTTTAATGCAAGGGTCCTGCAGTGCTCAGGATTCTCCATGGCTGCACCCTGGTAATGTTCCAGGAACCGTTAGCTGGGGATCCAACCAGGTCAGCGGTATGCAAGGCATTCACTTTAACCTCTGTACTATTTTTCTGGCTCCTAATTTTACATATCTATGTGTACATAATGGACACATATATGAGAAGAAATTTATATAAATATATGTATATATTGGGCCTATATATAGCAGTGCTCAGGTCTTATTCCTCACTCTGTACTTGGGAATCACTCCTGGCACAGTACTCAGAACACCATACATGGTACCAGAAATCAAACCTGGATTGGCAGTGTGCAGACCAAGCATCTTACCCACAGTACTAACTCTCCAGCCCTAATCTTTCTAAGGTCTTTTTTTTTTCCTTTTTGGGTCACACCCAGTGATGCTCAGGGATTACTCCTGGCTCTGCACTCAGGAATTACTCCTGGCAGTGCTCGGGGGACCATATGGGATGCTGGGAATCAAACCTGGGTCAGTCGCATGCAAGGCAGATGACCTACCCACTGTGCTATCGCTCCAGCCCCCACCAGCCCTAATCTAATACTCTTAATGGGGGGCCACAGCGCCATGCTCAGGGAACCATATGCTAAGTTGGGGATCGAACCAGGCAAGCGGCCTACCCGCTATTCTATCTCTCCAGCCCCCTGATTTAATATTTAAAGAATTGTAGGGACCAGCAGTGTTGCTCAGCAGTAGAGCATATGCTTGCCTGTGTGAGGCCATCGTTCTTTAAAGTTTTTTTGGTTTTTTTGGGTGGACCCCATCTGGCAATACTTAGGTTATTCCTGGCTCTGCATTAAAGGATTACTCCTGTCCCTGCTCAAGGGATCATATTATTCCTGCCCTTTAGGCTCAACTTTTAAAAGTTCCATTTGGCCTGGGGCCCCCTGGGCACCGCCAGGAGTAACTCCTGAGTGCATGAGCCAGGAGTAACCCCTGTGCATTGCCGGGTGACCCAAAAAGCAAAAAAAAAAAAAAAAAAAATCCATTTGGCCTAAGGCCCTTTCACTGTTTACAGTTCATTATAAGTTTAGCTTACTTTCATGTATGTGTGGTTTTTGTCTTTCTGTGAGCCACTCCTAATATAATTTAGCATAATGTTTTATTTAGAATAAAATATTCTATTTTTAAGTAGAGTAATCGTAGTATTTTTGTTGTTGTGGGGCCACACATTGCATTACTAAAGGTATTCATAGGGTTCTAGGGATGAAATGGAGTGCCTTCACAGTGCCGAGTGCAAGGTATGTATGTGTTCTCTTACTTGAGCCACAATCCTTGACCTTTGAATTTTGTTTGGAGAAAAATAGTTATCCACTAATTTTTAAGAATAGAAAAGCTGGGGCTGGAGTGATAATAGAGTGGGTAGGGTGTTTGCCTTGCACGCGGCCAACCTGGTTTCGATACCCAGCATCTCATAAGGTTCCCCAAGTACTTCCAGGAGTAATTCCTGAGTGCAAAGCCAGGAGTAACCCCTGTGCATCTCCAGGTATGACCCAAAAAGAAAAAAAAAAATAGAAAAGCTGGGAAAAAAACAGGAAAATTGGGCTAGAAACAACAGCCTGCAGCTCATGCTTTGTGTGTAGTAGATCCAGGTTTAATTCCCCAGCACTGACAGGAACAATCCTAGAGTAATAAGCTCAGAGTAGTCCCTGAGCATCACAGATTGTGGCCCCAAAAACCAAAAGGTGGGGGAAAGGACTGAAGAGAGATAGTACATTCCAGTAGGGCACTGCTTTTCATATTGTTTGATCTGGTAGACATTGTATGGTCCTCCAAGCACTGCCAGGATTAATCACCGAGCTCAGAGCCAGTAGTAAGCCCTGAGCACTGCCAGGCAAATGCTTTTCCCTTTGTACAATCTTTCCAGTCAAAGCTCAGATTGTTTTATTGTTGCTCTTGTTTGAGCAAAATGAAATTTACTTAGAGAAACATGAAAGGGGAGAGAGAAGAGAGACAAGAGTTGTGTTTAAAAAGAAAAACCAGGCTTCTCCAGAGAGGAGAAAGGCTTCAAAATTCCTTTTGTTGTTGTTGTTTGTCTTTTTGGGTGACACACAGTGATGCTCCGGAGTTACTCCTGTTTCTGCACGCAGGAATTACTCCTGGCGGTGCTCGGGGGACCATATGAGGATGCCAGGAATCAAACCAGGGTTGGCCACTTGCAAAGCAAATGCTCTTCCCACTGTACTATGGTCCGGCCCCTGTTTTTAATTTTTTATTTTGTTTTGGGGCCACACCTCGAAGTGCTGGTGGGGGGGGGGATGCAGTGCCAGGAATCAGACCAGAGTGCCAGGGTTGGCTATGTGCAAAGCAAGCATTTTACCTGCTACACTATTTCATCTGCCCAAATCCAGAAATAATAATGAAGAAGCAGCTGTGAGAAGGTTGTTGTACCTTACCTTATTTCTGTTTTCTTCTTTGTCCAAGCCATTCATTTTTACTCTCACATGTGCTATAATTTTAGTTTCATTTTATATTTAAGATTTGGTTAATTAGTAGCTTAAGTAAACTCAAATAGATACTCATTATTTGTTTTATCCATAATCTCACAAATCATTTGTGGAAATAAAAGAGATTTAGAGCAAATTGCTGTGTTTATTATAGCATAGTGATTTATCCTTCTATACTCCTGATCATTGTCAATCTTTTACTGGGTTTTACTTAAAGGAGTAAATTGATATCTTCCACTGAATAAATTAGTATATAAGTAACATATGAAAGCCTGAACTGGAAAGCTGGTTCTACGTTCCTTGAGTGGCGCAAAGTAAGAATGCCTTCTTAATCCAATGTAGTGGAATCTCTACATGCCTGTATTTTTAGTGTGGTCTGCTAGAGCACTCCAGGTGGCTTATGAGGGGAAGTACTTTGTAGAACACTGTTCTCCTGTTATGACTATAAATTTTTATTCTTTTTCAGTTCTCAGTAATCGCCTGGGCTGAGTTGCTTTTATTTGTTGTCTTAAGCTAGAAAAGATAGACATCTTTTTGCTTTGTCAAAATAATCTGCATCTTTTTTTAAAAGAACGGAAAACTACTGTAATACTAATATTAAACTAGTATAATGCTTTCCATTATCCCTATTCCTGTCCCTGTAACGTGAGAATTTGGTATTAGGGTTGTGATACTGGGGATGGAGCCAGGATTGGTCCCTTTCAAGACAAGTTCCTTACTACCTCTGAGGCTCAAGAATATATTATTCTTGGTTGCTGGACTCCAAGGAATGTATTGGGTCTCTAACCAGTTGCTCCAAGTCATTATGCAAGAAAATTAGTTTTCTTGCATAATGACTTGATCAGAGCAAGATTAGAAATATAATGTATTTGGGAACTGTTAGAGAACCAGTTTGCCTTTTGGATGTTCTCGTTCTCTCTCTCTCTCTCTCTCTCTCTCTCTCTCTCTCTCTCTTTCTCTCTTTCTCTCTTTCTCTCTTTCTCTCTTTCTCCCTTCCGCTCCCCTTCTCTCTTTACTCTCCCTCCCCCCTCTGCCACACTCATGGTAATGCTCAGGGGTTACTCCTGGTTATCTAGTTGTCGGGAATTATTCCTAGTGGTATATGGGGGACTATATGGGATGCATGTAATTGGATTTGGGTCAGCCACTTGCAAGGCAGACTTCCTACCTGCTCTTCTCCCATCCTGGATGGATCTCTTATGAAGGTTCCCCCCCTCCCATTAATTACCCTTGATACTTTGGGGGGTTTGTTTGATGATGCCGTACAAATGGGAATCTTTTTTATCATTGATGTAATGACTTTTTTTTTCTTTTTGGGTCACACCCGGCAATGCTCAGGGGTTACTCCTGGCTCTTCACTCAGGAATTACCCCTGGTGGTGCTCAGGGGACCGTATGGGAAGCTGGGAATCGAACCCGGGTCGGCTGTGTGCAAGGCAAACACCCTATCCACTGTGCTATTGCTCCAGCCCCGATGTAATGACTTTAAATGAAGAGGAGATAGGAAAGTCCAGGTGCATATATTTTAGAGAAGGATAAGGTTCTCATGCATTATCTAGAAATCTGCTTCTGAGGAATGTGTAGTAATAGACAAAGTATAAGTTATCTAGTTGTCAGTGAAGTTTTGTGGTCTAACAACAGTATAGGTATAGTTACTATGATGTAACTGATATCAGGAGATTAACGAGATTTTATTCATAAATAGGCTAGAAGAGCTATGTTGATTCATCAGAATGATAATTATACTCGTTTAGGCTAAGATGGTAAAGGTAGAAAAGAAAATAGGGGGCTGGAGCAATAGTACAACAAGTTGGGCACTTGTATGCAACCAACCTGATTTGATCCTTGACACCACATATGGCCTCCTAAGTCCCACTAGGAGTGATCCTTGTGTAAACTAGGAGTAAGCCTTGATCATCACTGGGTATGTTCCAAAAACAAAAAGAGAAAAGATAGGGGCTGGAGAGATAGCACAGGGGGTAGTGCATTTGCCTTGCACATGGCCAACCCAGGTTCAATCCCCAGCATCCCATATTCCCATATGGTCCCCCAAGCACCGCCAGGAATGATTCCTGAGTGCGGAGCAGGAGGAACCCCTGAGCATCACTGGGTGTGACCCAAAAAAGCAAAAAAAAAAAAAAAAGCAAAAGGAAAGAAGAAATTTAAAAGAGAAAAGATAAAATGAAAACTGAAGCTTGGCAGCCTTATATATACTATATCACAAAGGGTGTAATGAAGAAGTAAGGCTTTTGGTTCCCTTTTTTTTTTTTTTTTTTTTTTTAATTTTTGTGCTGGAGCGATAGCACAGCGGGTAGGGCGTTCGCCTTACAAGCGGCCAACATGGCCGACCCGAGTTCGATTCCTCCACCCCTCTCGGAGAGCCCGGCAAGCTACCGAGAGTATTCGATATGCCAGACACAGTAACAACAAAGTCTCCAATGGAGACGTTACTGGGCCCGCTCGAGCAAATCGACGATCAACGGGAGGGCCTTTAATTTTTGTGCTACACCTGGCTGTACAGGCTTACTGCTGGCTCTGTGCTCAGGGATCATTCCTGGCAGTGCGCAAGGAACCATATGTGTTGCTGGGCGTTAAGCCAGTTCAGCCACATGCAAGATCAGTTTTGCCTTACCCCAATACCATCTCTGTGATCCCAAGATGTTTTTGTTTTTTGTTTTTTTAAACATTTTTTAAATTTATTTACTTTTTTGGGGGGGGGTCACACCCAGTGATGCTCAGGGGTTACTCCTGGCTTTATACTCAGGAATTACTCCAGGCGATGCTCGAGGAACCATATGGGATGCTGGGGATCAAACCCAGGTCAGCCATGTGCAAGGCAGATACCCTACCCACTGTACTATTGCTTCAGCCCCAGAAGTTTGTTTTTTTGGTTTTGTTTTTGTATTAAATGTTGTATTATTTTATTTTTATAAAGTTGTTCACAATAGTTCATTCAAACACCAATTCCACCACTGAGCACCTTTCCACTACAATAAGAGGAAAGTGTGTGAAAATTCTTGTATTTCTTCCTGGAGCCATTTTAGCCCTTGTATAAGAGATTACAAACATATATGTTAAGCCCAAACAAATGTGTGCTACTTTTGGTACATCAGTGGGCTAGAGTGTAAGAGGTCACGCAGCCACATTTACAGCCATGCATTCAGGACATTTTGTGTTGTTCTCTTTTGGGAGCTTTATTTCATAGTCTCTGGATCTTGGCCATAGATGAGATTATATGGCACTGGGGGCAGTTTGTGGGTGTGACTGCCAAGCTACTGGAAAACTGAGGAGCTGGGAAGAGGCCCAGTCCTGTTCCAAGTGAGCGTGAAGATCTGTCACGTGTTCTGCATACCTGGGTTTCTCTGCAGGTTCCCCTGTAGGTGAGGCTTGTCAGAGCCTGTGGAGAGCAGCCTTGAGCATAGCTGTGCAGTTGGGTTCTGCCAGAAGTGTGTTTTTAAAATCAAATTAGTGCTAACACATATATAACAAAGAATCTAATCCAGGCTGAAAAGAGAATTTCAGAATTACACCGAGAATTTCTAGTACTCAGCCATATTCTTTGCTCAGCAGTGTGTTACTCCTCTTCTGCACTAATTCTCGTTCTCTTTTCCCTTCTACAGACATTCCATACACCAAGCTTAGGTGATGAAGAATTTGAAATCCCACCTATCTCCTTGGATTCTGATCCCTCACTGGCTGTCTCAGATGTCGTTGGCCACTTTGATGACCTGGCTGACCCATCCTCCTCTCAGGATGGCAGCTTTTCAGCCCAATATGGGGTCCAGACATTGGACATGCCAGTGGGCATGACTCATAGCTTGATGGAGCAGAGCGGAGGTCTCCTGAGTGGGGGCTTGACCATGGTAAGGGGCAAGACGTTATCAGAGTTACCTAAGCAAATGGGAATAGTGTTAAGGGTGACAAAGATGATTCTCTACTTACTAGTGTACTAGAGCATTGCTTGTTTCTCATTTCTTGTGACTAACTTTCCCTGAATAAATGAGGTTTATCATTTGAAGAAACTTCAGTTGAAAAAAAAAAGATTTAAAATGATTAAATGAGCAGTGTTAAAATTGAAATAAAAATTGTTTATTGTGATTGGGGAGGTTTATTGGGATTTTTTTCCCTCTTCAATTATGGCCTTCACATCCTAGGATTCAAATGGAAGTGTGACAGCTGGCACATGAAGACATGTAATGAAAGACAACCAAATTAAGTATAGATTATTGTAAATCTACGCATTGGGCTTTCAGCACATGTCAGTAACAAATCTCCACACATATGATGCCAAATATCTTTTAATATTGACCTTATTTACTGAGGACCTATGTAATTTAAGTTTGAAAGCCATTATTTGGGGAGGGTCAGGAAAATTTTCTTTACTCTGATCTTGCTGTTAAGAGTACTATCTGGGTAATCAGGGGATTTATAATCTGTCCTGGAATTGGGGAAATGGTATTTTTATGCTTAGGGTTTTTTTAATTCATCCTTCTGTATCTCTTCAGGACTTGGACCATTCTATAGGAACTCAATATAGTGCCAACCCACCAGTTACAATTGATGTACCAATGACAGATATGACATCTGGCTTGATGGGGCATAGCCAGTTGACCACCATTGATCAGTCAGAACTGAGTTCTCAGCTAGGTTTGAGCTTGGGGGGTGGCACCATCCTGCCACCTGCACAATCACCTGAGGATCGTCTTTCAACCACTCCTTCACCTACAAGTTCACTTCATGAGGATGGTGTTGAGGAGTTCCAAAGGAGGGTGAGGCATTCCCTGCCAAATCAGATCTGCTGTTAGATTCTAGAATAAAACTCTTGGCATAGACAGTGTCTTTATACCTGCTCTTCCATCTCATACTTTTTGGGTATGAGATCTAACCTGTCAATTTAAATTTTCTAATGCTCCTCCTAATCTCTTTATCTTTTTCTTTTTTCACGGGGGCGGGAGGGGTGCAGGGCTGGGCCATATGTGGTGGTGCTAAGGGGCTGCTCTGGCTCTGGAACTTACCTAGCCCATCTGCATACAGAATAGTTGTTCAGCCCATGGCACCATCTCTCCAGCTTCCCAGTCCTTATTGTGGGGTTTGTTTAGGGCCACACGCGGTGGTATTCAGGGGCAACTCCTGGCTTTGTGTGGTGCTCAAGGGACCATGCGGTATAAGGGACAGAACTTTGGCCTTCTACATAAAAGCATGTGCTTAGCCCATTGAGCTATCTTTCTACCCATTTTCCCCCGTTCCCATCTATTCTTAGTGGTCCTCACATACTTTACTCTCTTAATTCTATTGCTTTCATTTTAGCATTTCTGAAAATTCCATCCATGTAGCTACCTTTCCTCATGTATTTCCTTAGAGTTCTCTTCAGTGGTCTTTTCTTCTCTTTGTAATTTTCTTTTCTCTCCTACAGCAACTTCCCAGCCAGAAGACAGTTGTGGTGGAAGCAGGGAAAAAGCAAAAGGCCCCAAAGAAGAGAAAAAAGAAAGATCCTAATGAACCTCAGAAACCAGTTTCAGCATATGCTTTATTCTTTCGTGATACTCAGGCCGCAATCAAGGGACAGAATCCCAATGCCACTTTTGGGGAAGTTTCAAAAATTGTGGCCTCCATGTGGGACAGTCTAGGAGAAGAGCAAAAACAGGTGAGCAAATAATGACAAGCTAGTGGATAGTGATTGTTTTTCAGAAGGGTTTTGTTTGGTTAGGTTTGGGGCCTCACTTGGTAGTGCTCAGTGCTTACTCTTAGTGCTAAGCTCAGGGATCATTTCTGGTGGGCTCCGGGAACCATATGGGTGCCAGGATCAAACCTGGGTTCCCATGAGCAAGGCAAATGCCTACACACTGTACTATCTGGCCCCCTTTTCAGAAGTTTTTAAAGAAAGGGAATTAAAAACTAGGACGTTTTCTCCTAACTTTCTTACATGTTTCTAATATTAGTTTTGTGTTAATGGCATTAACAGGTCATCTTATCTTTCTTAGGAGGTACAGCAATAGATTAAGCTCAGCACATCCATCTTTAAAAAAAAAAAGAAAAAAAACCAAGGGCCAGAACAATAGTATAACAGATAGGGCTTTTGCCTTGCACACAGCTGACCCAGGTTCAATTCCCAGCATCCCATATGGTCCCCTGAGCACTGCCAGGAGTAATTTCTGAGTGCAAAGCCAGGAGTAACCTCTGTGCATCGCCGGGTAAGACCCAAAGAGCAAGGAAAAAAAAAATCAGGCTGATGAGATTTCTCAAGGAGTCAAATGCATGCTTTGCATATGGTAGGCCCAATTTGATCCTGGGCATGGCCTGATCCCTGAGCACCACCAGGAATAACCTCAGACCACTACAAGGTGTGGCCCCAAAAAACTTGAAGCTGGGGGTGTGGCTCAGGGGTAGAGCTCATAGCATGTCTAAGGCTCTTGGTATGATCCCTGGCACATCAGAAAATCAAATATACAGAATTTAATTTTGAAAAATTTATATTTTGGGTCTGTACAATATGTGTGTGTATGCATGTATAATACAGCAGGTAGGGCACTTGCCTTGCATGTGGCCAACCCTTGTTTCATCCTCAGTATCCCATATGGTTCCCTGAGCACCATCAGAAGTGGTTCCTGAGTGCAGAACCAGGAATAGCCCCTGAGCATCTCCAGGTGACCCAAAAGTCAAAAAAAAAATTTGTTTTTAATTTTTGACTATTAGGACACACCCAGCTGTGTTCAGGTGTACTGCTTGCTCTGCATTCAGGGATCACAATTGGAGGGATTGGGGCACCATATGTGATGCTGGGGACTGAATGCAAGGCCAGTGCTCCACCTGCATACTATTGCTGCGACCCCAATTTAAATTTTTTGGGTGGATGGTCACTCCTAGCTGGTCTCACTCAGGTCTCCTGCTTGCAAAGCATGATCTCCAGCCCATCGAGTTCTTTCTCCAACAGAAAGAGATTTCCCCTGTCCCGAGATTTCTTTTGTTTTGGGGTGACACCCAGTGGTGCTCAGGCTGATTCCTAGTATTGCTTAGGGTCTTGGGAATTTGAACCAGTCAGCCACACGTCAGGAAAATGCCTTATTTCTTGTTCTAAGCCTAGTTTTCCTCCCTACATGTAAAATAAGGTTATGCTGTGGTTGACTCTTAGGATCTACCATGTTTAGGTTTAGCATTTAAGTTTTTTTCATTTGCTTATGTGTACATTTGTAATGTACACTGTTTTGTTTTTGTTTTTTTAGAAGGTATGACTAGATAGGAAATGGTAGTTGGGGTCTGAGTGATTGTACAGCAGGTAAGACACCTGCCGTGTACATGGATGACCCATGTTCGATCCCCGACACTTCATATGGTTTTCTGAATCCCACTAGGAGCCCTGAGCTCCTCTGAGTATGACCAAAAAGAGAAAAAGAAAAATTGTGTTGACTGGCTGGCTTTCAGGTGTACAGTGAGCTTAAGAATCTTACCATGGGTTGGGGCTCGAGCAATCGCATAGTGGGTAGGGCGTTTGCCTTGCACGCGGCCGACCCAGGTTCGATTCCTAGCATCCCATATGGTCCCCTGAGCACCGCCAGGGGTAATTCCTGAGTGCAGAGCCAGGAGTAACCCCTGTGCATTGCCGGGTGTGACTCAAAAAGCAAAAAAAAAAAAAGAATCTTAACCATGGGACTGGAGCGGTAGTACAGCAGGTAGGGCATTTGCCTGGCACATGGCCAACCTGGGTTCAATTCTCAGCACTCCCTGAGCACTGCCAGGAGTAATTCCTGAGTGCAGAGCCAGGAGTAACCCCTGAGCATCGCTGGGTGTGACCCAAAAAGCAAAAAAAAAAAAAAAAAACCATGGAGGCTATTTTGATTGTTAACTTTCAGAAGTGCATTATTCATAAAAGGGAATTGTCATTCATTGATGAACAATATTTTTAAAGAGTCTCTTTTTCATGCAGGTATATAAGAGGAAAACTGAAGCTGCCAAGAAAGAGTATTTGAAGGCTCTGGCAGCTTATAAAGACAATCAAGAGTGTCAGGTAAGGTTCAGAGAAGTGGATATTTAAATCAATAAGATGGTCTAAGGGACAGGAATATAGCTCAGCTAGCTAGAATATTTCTGGATTCATTCACTGGCATTGCAAAACCAAAACCAAAACTTTTCAGAGGGACCAGGGTATTATGATTCAGGTGGTGCCCTGCTATACCTCCTCTACTTCCCCAGCACTTTTGGGTATTGCCTCACAGCAAAAATAAATTTTTCTAAGATATTTCTAGCTGGTTATTAACAGTGATAAGTAAATATCTACCCCGAACCTACAGGATCTATTAATCCTTAGTTGTATTATCAGTTTAAAACTAATTTCTATAATAAACTTTGCTAAATAGAACTTAACCGTAGCCAGAATAGCATATGCTATTGTTCCTTTTTCTTTTCCAATCTATGATGTATCTTTTCTTATGAGGTATTTATTCTAAGGGAGAAAGCAAATCTCCCAGTAAGATGGTTTGGTTTGGTTTTTGATCTATAGGCGACTGTGGAGACTGTGGAATTGGATCCAGCACCACCATCACAGACTCCTTCTCCACCTCCAATGGCTACTGTTGACCCAGCATCTCCAGCACCGGCCTCAACAGAGCCCCCTGCCTTGTCACCCTCCATTGTTGTCAACTCCACACTTTCATCCTACGTGGCAAACCAAGCCTCTTCTGGGCCTGGCGGTCAGCCCAATATCACCAAGTTGATTATTACCAAACAGATGTTGCCTTCTTCTATTACCATGTCTCAAGGAGGGATGGTGACCGTTATCCCAGCCACAGTAGTAACCTCCAGGGGCCTGCAACTAGGCCAAACCAGTACAGCCACAATCCAGCCCAGTCAGCAAGCTCAGATTGTCACTCGGTCAGTGTTGCAAGCAGCAGCAGCAGCTGCCGCTTCTATGCAACTGCCTCCACCCCGACTACAACCCCCTCCATTGCAACAGATGCCTCAACCCCCAGCTCAGCCACAAGTGACCATCCTGCAACAGCCTCCCCCGCTGCAGGCCATGCAGCAGCCTCCAGCTCAGAAAGCTCGAAAAAATTTACAGCAACAGCCACCTCCTCTGCAGATCAAGTTTGTGCCTCCACCCACTCTAAAAATGCAGACTACCTTAGTCCCTCCAGCTGTGGAAAGCAGTCCTGAGCGGCCTATGAATAACAGCCCTGAGGTCCATACTGTGGAGGAAACTTCTGAGACAATCTGTGAAATGATCACAGATGTAGTTCCTGAGGTGAGTCTGTTTACCATCTTTACTCCCGTGGGATGAGCACTTGGAGTTGATCAAGTAAAATTGGGGATTGGAGCTAGCATTTAATCCCAGACAACTTGGACTATGAAACATCCTGTAGAGGACAGTTTCCTGCATCTGTGACTTGTCATACCCACCATACTTTGTTGTGTTTGGCAAGAAGCGTTGAGATTCTTTGAATCTACTTGACTAGTCAAAAATGCATTGTACTTTGGGGCTAGAGCAATACTACACTTGATCTTAGCCAAAAGGCCAAGAAGTGATGAGGCTGGGGTGCTTGCCTTGCATAAGGTCAACCCAGGTTTGATCCCTGGCACCCCATATGGCACCCCCACCCCCAAGCCTGTCAGAAATGACCCCTGAGCACGAGCCTGGAGTAAGCCCTGAGTACCACTGGTGTGGCAGCCCGCGCCACCCCCCCCAAAAAATCTAAAGTACTTTGACTAGAATATTGCTTTAGCAACTTTTTAGAGGTACCTACCCAAGGGTACTAAGCTTAAGAAGTATCTTTGTGGGGCTGGAGCAATAGCACAGCGGGTAGGGCGTTTGCCTTGCACGCAGCTGACCTAGGTTCGATTCCCAGCATCCCATATGGTCCCCTGAGTACCGCCAGGAATAATTCCTGAGTGCATGAACCAAGAGTAACCCCTATGCACCACCGGGTGTTGACTCAAAAAGCAAAAAAAAAAAAAGAATCTTTGTATTTCTAATGGATCTTAATTGCTTGGTTCATGTTTCAAGGAAATAAACAGGATTCATAGAGTGAGTCTTTACAAAAGAAACATAAGCAGAGATGCCAGTTATCCTAGGTTTAACTTGTACATTATCAGTAACTTTATTGTTTTATTACACTTTAGGTAATAGGGTTACAATAGTGTTCAGATTTATGGTATTGATGTACAGTTACAGGACCCCACCAACAAAATGCCCATAAACCTCCATCATCCCCCCCACACTTGTCCCTGTCACCTCCAGTCTGACCTTTCTTCCCACCCATCTATCATTTGTTGACTGATAGTTATAGTTTTGCTGCATGCTGTTACCTCCCTGAGCACCATCCATGTGTTTCAGACCTTCCACCTATGTTTCCATATTACATCCAAAACAAGTTAGCATTTTAAATGAGCCAGTGTTTAAAACTAAGTTTACAACTAATGAGACAGAGAGACGGCCATTTAAACTAAGAAAAAAACCTAATCAGGAAACTGATAATCCAAGCTCTTTCCTTTTCTCTAAAGGTAACATTTTCTTTATCAGTTTTCCAGATCTTAGTAGAGGTGACCAAACTTTAATTTATATTCCAATTTTGTTGTCATTTAAGTGTAGAATAATGCAGATTTGATTCCGGCATCCCGTTTGTCACCCAAGCACCACCAGGAATGATCCCTGAGCTCTGGGCCAGGAGTAAGTCCTGTGCACCACTGGGTATGGCCCAAAAACCAAAAAAAAAAAAAAAACAAAAACTTTTTTTTTTTTTAAAGAAATTAAAAGCTTGCTCTTCAAGCCCATATTCTCCTTTGAAAACATATCCTGCTTGCTTAATTCCACTTCGAAAAAGCCTGTGTTCTCTCTTGAACACATTTCCCTTCTTTTTCTCTTTACAAATGGGTTATTCCTGGCTCTGCACTCAGGAATCACTCCTGGCAGTGCTACAGGGACCAAAAGGGTTGTCAGGGATCGAAACCCTGGTTGACCACATGCAAGGTTGCCTTATCACTGTACTACAACTGCAGCCCTTCTTCCACCTTTCTAAGCAAGTTATGTTCAATAAAAACTACCTTGCTTCACAAAAAGAATTAAGAGCACTGTGGGCCAGGGGCTGGAGAAAAAGTACAAAAGACAGGTCATTCGCCTTACATGCAGTCAACCCAGATTCCAGCACCCCAGCTTTGCCAGGAGTGATCCCTAATTGCAGCCAGGATTAAGTACTGAGCACTGCCAGGTATGCGCCCCCACCCACCCCCAACCCCCCCCCCTCCAGTAAAACAAAAAGAGCTCTGTGGGCCAGAGAAATAGTTCAGCTCATGCTCTGAACATGGTTTGATCTCCAGCACCATATGGTACCCCAAGTACTACTGGCTGTGGCCCAAAAGAAAAAAGCCATAAAGTTTATATAGATAGGAGAGGGTCTAGAGGGATGGCTCAGAGGGCTGGAGCATGTTTTACATTCAAGAAATCCCTGGATACCATCAGGAATATTACTATCAGTTACAGCCAAAAAAAAAAAAAAAAAACCCCACCCAAAAAAATCATAAGAAACAAAGTGAAAGATACAGAAAGAATACAAAGTACTCATTTCTTTTAGGCATTTACCCTCCCTCATATTTAAGGGATTGTAACACTTGTTGCTCATTTGAATCCCAGAGTTAATTTGATCAAATGGCTAGGTTAGCTAAGTAGGTATCAGTTTGATCGATCTTTGATGCCGTCTACTCTCATAGGTTGAGTCTCCCTCTCAAATGGATGTTGAATTGGTGAGTGGGTCTCCTGTGATACTCTCACCCCAACCTCGATGTGTAAGGTCTGGTTGCGAGAACCCGCCTGTTGTGAGTAAAGACTGGGACAATGAGTACTGCAGCAATGAGTGTGTGGTGAAGCACTGCAGGTAAGCCTTTAGTCCCCTTTCTTATAATTCTGGTATTGCTTAATTGTGCTAGAAATCCTGAGAGTTAGGATAACTTGCTATATATGTGTCTGATTATAGAAGCAACTTTAAGAAGGTGGGGTGGGGTGGGAGCTGAGATAGTGGTGGAGGGAAGCAGACACTGTGGAGGATGTGGGGTTGGAACACTGTATGCATGAAACATTAACATAGTATTAGAAGTCGCTGACTATAATGGAAAAAAACAACAAATATTCCTCCTCTAGTCAAGAGAGCTGATAGAGGAAGTAATTACATGTGGCTGATCCAGATTCCACCCCTAACTCTGCTCTGTGTATTACCCAGAACAAATGAGAAAATATAACATATTAAGTTGTTAGTGACAATACTAGACAATTTTTAGTATACAAATAAGTTCTCTTAGGGAATTAGAATTTGGGAAAGAATTGTGATAAGTAATCGCAGGAGAGGGGAAAATTTGAGAATTCTGTCCTCCCTAAATTTTCCTGAGATTTACTTTATATCTATGAAACAAGGCAGTGATATTTCTCCTCTCAAATCCTCCCTGGTAAATGGATTGCACTTGACTTTACTCTCCATTGGAGCATCTTACTTTACAGCATCTCAGGAAATGATATGGGAATTATTCTAATTCTACATTTCTGTGTCTCTTTCTCTTTTAGGGATGTTTTCTTGGCCTGGGTAGCCTCTAGAAATTCAAACACAGTAGTGTTTGTAAAATAGTCCTTCGTGTTCTCAAAGCCAGCGAAGACTTATCTACCAGGAACATGTTCAAGAGTCTGTTTCCAAATTACAAGCTGGGCTTCTGGTAGTGACTGATCTCAACCCATGAAGGTCCTTTATGCTTCTCCCCTTTCATCTTTCAACTGGAAGCAGATTATGGAACAGGGCCATTTGAGTTTGCTGTAATTTGGAATTATTTTCAAGTACAAGCCGAAATACCAGTGACTTAAACAGAAGAAAGGGTGAAGGGAATATGGACAAGCAGGACATAGGGATATAGTAGGAGTGGTGGTAGTAGAAAGGGTGGGGGGTTGAAGAAATTTGTTGGTATAATTGACATAGAACTTGCCTAAAAGATTATTAAAATAATGGGAGAATACTCAACTTTGAGCCTAGAAGGAAATACTATTCTGTGCATCTATTTTAAAGGGGATAAAGGTTGCATTAAAAGGTTATAACCCTTTTAAAACAGGGAACTGTTTATTGCCATTATGTCTGTTTGTTGCTTGAAGAATAGTACACTTGTTTTCTAAACAAGTACACTGGACTGTCGGGAAAATAACATCACCTTGGAGTTGCTTATTTATTTTCCTCTTACATAGTATTTCTGTAGCAGCGTTCCTCCCAATCTGCATTATTAGTTTGAGTGCAAAAACACAATCCACATCCTTAAAGAGATTTCACCAAAGCCTAAAGTTGTGTTTGTTCAGTTGTGTTTGATAAAATCTTTTAAAAGAAAGTCCAAAGATGTTTTCACTTGCATATAAATTACTTCTTTGCATAGCCTAGGCACTTATTAATACAAGTTGTACTCTTTTTCTTAATTAGTAACAGACTAACAAAGCCACATAGTTGTAATAAGCAAAATCTAGGGCATGACAGTCTGAACTATGAAACCTTAAAGGAAACCAAAATTGTACCTTGAGAAATTGTTCCTTTTTGACAACCATTTTCACATGGTAATAACTGCTGATTACTGTGATCCTATACATAGAATCAACATTTTAATTATTTCCGTGCATTCATTTAGTTTGAACCCTCACAACAGCCCAATGAGGTAGGTAGTATTTCCATTTTACATAGAATCATACTGAGATGAATCATAAGATCACGCAGTTCAGTGGCAGAGCCAAACTTTGACCTTGAAGTCCCAACTACAATATAAATTTTTATTTAAATAAGGAAAAAAACTATCGTACAAATAATACTCCTCAGGTGCAACCTAAAGAGCCATGGCTATGGACTGCTTATTTCTGTGGGGGAAGTGCTTCTAGAGATTCTTGGGTTTAGAGATGATACCATCTGGGTACCTTTGCTTGAACCGAGCAACCACATCTGGATCTAGCAGATGGATCCCATCCAGTTGGTTTCCAAGGGTGATCCTAAAGCAAAGGAAAAGAGGCAAAGCAAAAATCCTGGAATTAAGTGTGATATTGTTGGCCTGGAGGGATAGCTTTAAGGGTTGAACACGTTTTGCATGCAGAAACCCAGGGTTCCGTCCACTGCACCAAATGGTTCCCTGAGCCATCAAGTCCCAAGCACTGCCAGAAGTGGCTCCACACCAAAAAAAAAAAAAAAATATATATATATATATATATATATATATATATATATATATATCTGAAAGATGGCATCTTAAAAATTAGTGAATATATATGCCAGTTCTTATTTCTATTTCTATTTGGGGGTCATACCTGGCAGTGCTCAGTGGTTACTCATGGTGGGCTTGGGGGACCATATTTAGTGCAAAGGATTGATCCCAGGTGGCAAGTACCCTGTCCACTGTACTATTGATCTGGCTCCAACTTAAAAAAAAAAACATCTAGTATGGTATTATGAATTGATGAACACTGATTCTGATGCTAATATGAAGCAGTTAGGGTGTTTGCCATGCACCAGCCGACCCAGGTTCCCATACAGCTCCCTGAGACTGTCAGGAGTGATCCCAGAGTGCAAAAACAAGAGTAAGCCCTGCACGGGGCCAGGTGTGTCTCAAAAACTGGGATTAAAAGAAAATATCTGTAATCATTGATGGCTAATCAGGCCACTTCACCAAGATGCTGTGGCCACTGAATATACTTTGTATAAGTAAAATGTCATTAGCAGATCAGTACATCTTTTAAGCTAAGGAAATGGAAAGATAAAAATGTTGAGGGATCAGATTCTTAGTAACCACCAGGGGGCAGATACTATATATATATGTATGGTCACGGTCACGATCCTCCCGTTGTTCACTGATTTGCTCGAGCAGGCCCAGTAACGTCTCCTTCGTGAGACTTGTCGTTACTGTGTTTGGCATATTGAATACGTCATGGGTAGCTTGCCAGGCTCTGCCGTGCGGGCGAGATATTCTCGGTAGCTTGCTGGGCTCTCCAAGAGGGGCGGAGGAATCGAACTCAGGTCGGTCGTGTTGGCTGCGTGCAAGGCAAACGCCCTACCCGCTGTGCTGTCACTCCAGCCCAGTGGTTTATTCATAACAGACAATACAAAATGAATGAATTTGTTTCTGTTTTAGGGCTGGGGTAGGGGATTGGGATGGCCCATAGATAAGGAGTAGAGACCTTAGCACTGGTTTAGTCCTAAAACCTATTCAGTTTCCAATGTTGTGGAGTCCCATAAAACACTTTAAATACAAGATTAGGTGGCTTACAAATATTCTGAAACCAATTCATAAAGTAGAGGAATATGGGATCAAACTGTATTACTAATCTTGTTTCTGAATAGTTCTGCCTTTTCTCTTGTCTCCTTACCAGTTGTTTCTTTGGTTGGTTGGTTGGTTTTGGTTTAGGATTTTTGGACCACACCTGGAGGTGCTCAGGGGTTTACTCCTGGACCTGCACTTGGTGCTCAGGGGAAAATATGGGATGCTGAGGTGGAACTTGGGTCAGCCATGTGCAAGGCAAGTGCCCTATCGCTCCAGTTCTCCACTTACCAGTTGGGTTGCACATTATGTGGTCGTCCAAATAATTCAATCTTGCGAGTGCCAGGGGATAATCTCTCAATCATGCCATAGATTTCATCTGGCTTATGACTGGTGGAACGAACCTAGGAAATAAAGGCCCTTAGCGACTTTTAAAGTACCCAAGATTATTCTAGCCCTTTCCCATTATGTTTGTGATTGAAATGAGAATACTTGAAATGAGCATAACACCTGACTTGAATAACTGATACCAATAAAATCTAATGTGGAAACTTTGGATGCTTGGGAAGCACATACCTCAGCTACAATCACATCACAATCCAGACCCTGGTTGAAGCCTTGTGGATTTCCTTTGACACCAACCTGCTCGAGACAGAGAAAAGATTATCTGATGAAATCCCTTCTCAATAAGAAATCAGGGACCAGGGCAATAGTACAGCAGGTAGGGCGTTTGCCTTGCATGTGCTGACCCAAGTTTGATCCCTGGCACCCCAATTGATCCCCCAAGCCCTCCAGGATTGGAGCCAGGAGTAAGCTCTGAGCACCACTGAATGTTGCCAAAAAACAAAGCAAAAATATCCTCTTTTTGTTCCACCTATTAAACTTGGCCCCACTGCTGCTCACCAAGCAGTGTTCCTTCCCATGGTTCAACCAGTGACCTGTACGGCCTGTCCGAATGATGCGCTGCAGTTGATTTGTCTTCACCCAGATAATTTCATCTACCCGTTCATAACTGTGGGGTGTAAGAAAAAGAACTATAACTTTAACCAGGCTTTGTCAGGGTAGTACTGTCTACAGAGGCAAGGAATTAGGGAATACTCTGGGAGAAGGAAACTCATTTGCAGCAATTTCTACTTCAAAACACAGCAACAGTGACAGCTACTTACCCCCAAAGGTTCAGACATTCTCTGCCCAACTCCATGGCCCTAGAAGAAATAAAGATTAAATTGCTACTTCCAAGCTTTTTTTTTCTCTTTAAGATATATGGTGTTATAATTACATGCAAGTGCACCATTTAGGATCTCAGAGTAAAATAAGACATAAGACATCATATCTATTTTGAATGGCCATTCTCTTTATAATAAAGTATCTTCATACATTTTTTCCCCCAAGGCTGACCTCAGTCATATATTTAATAGCTAGGTCAGGAAAACCCAGGATTTTATGCCAACCAGTACTCATTCTGTACTGTTTCTGCCCACACCTACATATCTTTGAACTGCATTACCTGCCTGTGACCCAGAGGAAGAGAAAGCCATCATCCTGCAGTACTGGTATGTTGAGCCTGCGCATCTCATCATCTGTCAGGGTCCCATAGGGCAGCTCCATGTGAATATCCCAGGGTGGGTCAGCCATCACAACTGCAAACTTGCCCAAGATACTGACGTCCAGGTAGCGGATATCACAACAGATCCACTGCATGAGGTGGCATTTGGTCATCTTCCATTTCTTCACTCTCAGATTCATGGCCCCAGTCCCTCTTTTGCCATTTGATTTTCCTACTCCCTTAGAAGCATAGTCTATCCCACTCCATTCCCGATCAGCTAGATATTGCTGATTATGCCCTGCTTTCCTACATGTATGTATCTTAGCAATATAAGTTCACAAGTTGAGAAAAGTTTTCTGAGCAGATAGGTACCTGAGGGGGGAAGAGTCGATCTGCACTGGAGTCACCTCCAACACTCTGTGTAAGAGCAAGTTCTTGGCTCGGTGTATGGTCCTTGCTGCCCGGAGCCTCAGAATCCATGCAAGCATCAATTTCATAATGAACATATTTGCAAGTATCCATGTGGAAACATGTATTAAGGAAAGAGCAGTCGCCTAATGACTCATCGGTATGTTTATTGATGATTCGTCTGAGGAAATTAAAAGGAAAAATCAGTACAGGTTTCCAGAGTGAGATCCGAGTTCAAGTGCTTGATTGTCAAGCATTGTAGCTGCAAGACAAAGACAGGTGACAAACAAAAAATGCTAATTCATAATTGTAATTCCTCTATGATCAAATTTTCTAATTAGAACTGAATAAAATACTAAGCCTATGTTCCTATTTATTTTTCACTGAGGCTCAGGGACAGATGTCCTACTATTACAAACAGGCTCTTAAAAAAATACTTATGGGGGCCAGCGTGATAATACATTGGATAGGGCATTTGCCTTGCATGCGGCAGTCCCCGGTTCAATCCCCAGCATCCCATATGGTCCCCCAAGCACCGCCAGTAGTAATTCCTGAGTCCAGAGCCAGGAGTAACCCCTGAGCATCGCTGTGTGTGACCCATAAAGCAAAAAAAAACCAAAAAAACCAAAAAAAAACATGGGGAGTAGAAACTCCCTCAGGACATTTATAAGGCCAAAAATTATATTTAAAAAATGCTCTGCATAACATCAGGGAAATGCAAACCAAAACAATAAAACACCATCTCATCTAAGTAGAACTGTCACATCAAAATAAGCAAAAACAACCAGTGTTGGCATGGAAGTGGGGGAAAGGACCCCCACATTCATTGCTGGTGACAATACTGATTGGTTCAGCCTTTTTGGGAAAACATTATGGACACCTCAAAAAATTAGGAATTGAGCTTTCATCTGACCCAGCAATTCCATTCTTTTTTTTTTTTTTGCTTTTTGGGTCACACCCAGCGATGCACAGGGATTACTCCTGGCAGTAGCTCAGGGGACCATATGGGATACTGGGAATCGAACCCGGGTCGGCCGTGTGCAAGGCAAACGCCCTACCCGCTGTGCTATTGCTCCAGCCCCGCAATTCCACT